GGGCATGTGTTATAGAGAAAATACATCTCAAAAAATGCCTCTTCCTTAATTTCTAATTAAGGAAGAAGTGTATTAGAACGAAAACAATCCTCCTGTTAAATTCAAGCTTCCAGATGGATCCGAATCCTTTGCCACCTTGAAAGAAACGGAATAATTTGCTGTCTGATTTCGATAACAGAAGAGTGACAAAGATAGAGTTTCAGGAGGATTGAATTGATACAAATGAAAGGGTGAAATACAACCTAATCGAGTTGAAGAATGATGAAGATGTGAAGGCCATGTGAAAATCATTTCTTCGTATGATAACTAAAGATTCGATCGAGTTGGATGCGCAGATCCGAAGATCCGTTGACGATATAATGAAGATGCTGAAACGTTCAGATTCATCTGGAAGTTCCTATGTTTTCATATTTAGTTGTTTTAGGGTTATATTTGTTGTACTATTTTATGTTATGTTCATCATCAATTTGAAATATGTATCACCAAAATATTATGCAATAAATAAGAAGTCTATGTGTCACAAAATATACATATAGTACAACCAAAATAAAATAGATCTAAATAGGCCCTCCGCGGGCCACATCGGCTAACCTAACTAAACCTCTATAGATCTTACCATCTGGGTTTACCAATTCCATGAGACTGTCAGCATGAACTGCAATAAACTGGAGGCGGCTGTCCTGATCTCCTGCAAGTGGTGGAAGTGGTGGTGGCTCGATAGAAACCCTGGCACCAGAAGACTCTGGAATATCAGATGTTACAGCTGGTGGTATGATTTAAGGGTGTGAAACACTGTGAAACCACTCCATGTATCCATCCTCGCACTACCCAGGTTGCTGAACCTCAACGGCTATATCCATGATCTCACGGGAGAGTTGGGGATGAGACTCTGAAACCATCTATCAATGCCACCAATTGGAGACTCTAGAACTGGACAAGGGATGCCCTGTACATAACCATATTGGCGTAGACACCTCTCAAGCAAGCTTCTAGCCACATGACTCTCCCATCTAATATGCCCTGAATATAAAGTAGATACCTCAAATGGACGACGAGGGTGATGAGATGTATATGGTGTCCAGACGATATCCTCCAAGTCCAGAGCGTCAAGCTTCCTCCGCTACTCCATCAAACCTCCTGAAATAACTTGTTTGGCCTTCCATCTCCTCGCACATGGCTCAGATGCTTGTACACACTGGATCTTCTGCTCACAAATGTGAGAAAAGTGCTCGTATATCCAATACTGCATAAATAAAAGCCATCAAATAAATTATAGTATACCCGTAACAAGTTGAGGTAACCAGCAAGCTTCCTAGTCTCAGGACGAGAAGCAATGTCAAGTGTCGTGTACAACATGGTCAAGGCCGCCACTCCCCAAGCCCAATATGGAGTGTCAAGTGCGCTGAAGAGATACAAGTACCGGACATCAATATAAACTCCAGACTTGTCCACAAAGAAAGTACATGCCACCCGATGTAGCATGTACGCCCTAGTGGGAGCCTGGTACCTCTATGCCTCCACAAGCTCCCCATACAACCTCCTCAGCCAAGACATCTGAAGGTGAAATCCCCAAGTCTCACCAAACTCTTGTAGCTTCTGCGTCTCAGAAACCTCCAAATCATCCATAACCATGCGCATCGCCGTTGCCTGGTCCCTATAAACTGGTGTAAAAATGTACCAGCAATCAGAATGTAAAAGAGGACGTCCACATTATCTAAAGTCATCGTCATCTCCTCAAATGGAAGATGTAAGGAAAATGTCTTCGAGTGCCATCTCTCAACAAAAGCTGATAACAGGGAGGAGTCTAGCATGGTCAAGGAGCAATCAACAAACTCTAGGAGATGGAACTCTCTAACGATCCTCCTCACCTCCTCAGGCATGGGACTCTCAGGAAGGTCTTCAACTTCGAACCATGAGAAGCGACCTTCAACCCCGAATGCTCCTGTAAGAAGCAAAAACAAATTATTATACGTTAAATCTTGTAAGCAAAAATAAAAATTATGCAATTAAACAAAACCAAAAATATATACCTCACCATGCCATATCCTATAAGCGACACAGTCCGCAAATCCTGTCAGCACGGACCTATCTGAAGGTCCACCAGGAAAACCTCCATCAATACACTGATGGCTCTGTAGACGTACAAGTCTTGGTGTCTGTATCAGCGGGGGACACCTCATCAACTTACTCAGCAACAACCTCTTGCTCAGCCTCCTGCACCACAAGCTCTATAATATGCTCCTCAACTACCAGCTCCACAGTAGGAACATGAGCCTGTACCTCCTCAATATGAGCATGTACCTCATCAGCAGTGGATACTCTAACACCCTGATAGCAGGGTGTGCGAAACCGCGTTTGCTGCTCAGCCATCTGTTTCCGGTGAGAACCGGTCGGAGGACGGTGTCCAACCCGTAGCTCTGAAGCCCGCGCCTCGTCATCCTGGGCTTCAACATCAACTCAATCAGTGGTCCGTCATGCAATAGAATCATCTCTGCCCTCTGGTCCTCACTGCAAAATAAGAAAATATTAGGAAAATATAAACTACCGGAAATTTATAAATTTATGATATTTTTTAAAAAAAATTGAACTATCGAAAATTTCAAAATTTCCGGTATTCTGTGACGTATTGGAAATTTCAAAACTTCCGGTATAAATGGTAAATGAAAATACCAGATATTTTGAAATTTCTGGTACGGAAATACCGGATATTTTGAAATTTCCGATACAAAATACCGGAAATTTCACAAATTTATCGTAAATTCTTACTTGTTCACGAAATTTTCGCTATCGCCCAAAACTTTGAAAAATCCGATTGGTCACGTAAATTTAAAATTTGTGATGAATAATTTGGATTTGGAAAATTTGGTTTTTTCATACCATTTAGGTGTGTCATATATAATATGGGGGGTGGCAAGTTAATACAAAGTAAAATACAAATTTCTCTTGATTTATTTGAAGAGAACTTATGGAGAAAGATACCATTTAATGGAGCATTACTTTTTATGCATGATGCATGGCAAGCCATGGAGAACTTCATAGAAGAATAACGTTTTCATGGATAGTAGTTTGGTATGTTCATCCATACCCATCCACTGTCCAATGAGAATCAAATTTGTTAACGCGGAAACGTTTATTCTTTCATAGTAGGTCATCTTGTACCTATTTACAGTTCATCAAGCATCAAACATGTTAATGTGTAGACATTTATACTTCATATCAAGTCCACATGTACATGTCTATATTCTACCAATGCCTGCGACATACTCAGCCTCAACTTTCCTACCCCTAAATTTGTTTAACAAGCTGTAGCAACATCTGAAACACACTCAGTCTCACAACTAGATAAATCCACCATTTGTTGCTTCTTTGAACACCGTGACATTGGTGCTCCTATGAACTTGAAGAAGTAACCAGTTGTGCTTCATTTGTCAATCTTATCTCCACATCAATCAACATTTGAAAATCCAATGAGCTCAAGCTTTTCATGCCCTTTGCCTATTGGAAACAAGATACCATAGTGTAGTGTACCATTGATATATCTCATAATCCTTTTTTGTAATAATGAAATGTTGTCTAAGAGAATTGCTCGTAAACCTACTTACCCATCCTACTGAGAAGCTTATGTCAGGTCTGCTTTGGCATAAATATCTTAGTGATCCTACAAATTATCTAAACATGGTAGAATATATGTTGTCTCTACCACCTGTATTTGGTTCTCTACTTCTCATGTTTGTATCAGCTACTCCAACATCTTGAATTTTGTCAAAGTTTGAGTTGCATACTTTGCTTGATGCAATATCATTCTCATTGAGGAGTCTAAGAATTCCATACCAGGGAAATATGCTGTTAGCTTGCCAAAGTTAGCCATTTCAAATTCAAGCTTCATCTTAGCTTTGAATTGATCAATTTCTTTCTCACAACTTCTTGTTATTAATAAGTCATCTACAGGCAAATGATTAGTAGCCTCATCCCTTCTTTGCCTTTAACATAAACTTCATGTTAACTTTTTTCATCAGCTTCTTTTTGAAACACTTGTTTAGAATGTATGTTGTTGTTACAGTCTCTCCCCCAACACTCACGTGGTAGTTTCTATTGCTTGATCATGCTTCTGGCCATGTTGAGAATGTTTTTATTCCTTCTCTCTCTCAGGCCATTGTGTGAGGAGTGTATGGAGCTATGACTTCATGTATGATACCTTAGCTTGCACAAAAGGATTCAAAATCCTTTGAGGTGTACTCACCTCCTGCATTAGTTCTCAAGATCTTCATCATCTTGCCACTCTGCTTTTCTACCAGCACTTTAAATCTTTTGAAGATATCCAAAAATAGCCACAACATCCTGGAGAACCCATCCACAAAAGTGATGAAGTATTTGTTACCATTTTAGCTAGGAACTTCTAGTGGTCCACAAATATCTAAATGAACTACATTTAGCCCCCCTTGACTCTCATAGGCAAACTAGGCTTGAAAGCTAGTCTAGGTTGCTTCCCTATCAAGCATATAGTACATGAACATCCAGGGATTTGCATCTTATGAACTCCCATTACCATTCCTTTGGAATTCAATATTCACCAAATGATTCCTTACTATCTCTTGAGGTGAAATGCTTGTGTAGAAATGATGGATTTCACGGTAAGATCGTTCTCTAATGGTGATGGCTCAACCTTTTACAAGTGAGGATGAAATGTGGATTCAAAATTCTAGCTTGACTCTTGATTGATGATGAATGTGGAGTTATACTTGCATGCAAGGAGAAGAGCTTGCAAGAACACTCTTATTAGGTTGGGATGTCTTATTAGGTTGGGATGTTTCAGAAACGTAGGTGAGGTTCAATTTATAATGGAGTGAAACAAATCTTTGAGGAACAATCATGGAATCTCCTTCCCTAATAACTTTTTCAAATTTACTTTAATGAAGGAATCATAAATAACATTTTCCTAAGGACATGGACTACCTTATCGAAGGAATCTAAAGACATTTTCCAAAGAAATCGATATAATTCTAAAGTAGGACTGATTTATTCCCAATGCAATTGCTTGCTTCTCTCTGCAAGTTATAAAAACTAAAATCATCAAACAGCATAACAGCCTTAGTACTATTATTATACATATAGCATTCCACATCACATCCTTGTTCTTGTGTCAAGCTTTGAAAATTTTCTAAAAATGTGCAAATTTCTTTCATTTGCCACTCAGAAGTATCTCCAGCTCCAAATCTATATATTTTCCTATCTATCTCAATTGTACTGTAACCAGGTACCTTCTTCAATCCCATTCCTTCCATCTTTGATCTCACCTTTCTTGATTCATACCATTTTCCTCCTTCAGCATATATGTTGGATAACAAAGTATAGTAACCTGTATCATCTGTACTTATTCGTCCAAGTTCTTCACCGATGTTCTCAATCACGTCCATCCTCCTGTGTATTCGACATCCATTAAGCAAAGCTCCCCATATGCTAGCATCTACCGGCATGCGTATCGATTTGATTATTTCATATGCCCCATTGATATCACCGGCACGACTTAAAAGGTCAACTATGGAGGCAAAGTGTTCTTGATTGGGCACTATGCCATAATCCCTCATAGAGTTGAAATAAAGTTTTCCTTCCTCAACGGATCCGGCGTGCCTGCAGGCAGATAAGATATTCATGAAGGTTACTTCGTTTGGTTTGATATGCGAGCTAACCATTTTAGTGAAGAGTGAGATAGCAACGTTTATTTGACCGTGTATGCCATGAGCAGCAATCATGGTACTCCATGACACCACACTTTTCTCGAGTATGCTATCAAAAACTCTTCGGGCTGTTTGAAGGTCTCCGCATTTTGCATACATGTCTACCAAAGATGTATTGATATAAACATCGTTCTGATTACCGGTTACGATGATCTTATGGTGAATCCATTTTCCCTTATCAAGATAACCCAAAGAGGAGCAAGCTTGAATTGCACTTAAAAAGCTTACTTCATTAATCTCGAGGCAGTTTTCATACATCTCATCAAATAGGTTGAGTGCTTCTAATGAAACGCCATTCTGAGAAAACCCGCAAATCATACAGTTCCATGTCACAATGCTTTTCTTCCTGATCTTGTTAAAAATTGTATATGCCAAATCCACAAAGCCGCATTTTGAATACATATCCATCAAAGAGTTCTGAACAAATTCGTCGAAGAAACCTCTTTTCGTGACATGACCATGTATCTGTTGTCCAAATTGTATCGAACCGGCACTTGCACTTGCTGAAATTGAACTTGCTAAGCTATATGAGTCTGGCATTAGTCCCTTTGCCACCATATGCGCAAAGAGTACCATGGCTTTATCGTTTAAACCCTCGCGAGCATAAAATGATATGAGCGTATTCCACGACACAACGTTGCTGTTTCCTATTAAATGAAGAAGTTTTTCGCAACTACTTATTTTCCAGCATGCTGCATAGAAATCTATCAGTGCAGGCCCAAGATCAAGATCAGCAGCATCCATTGCATTCCTCAAAACAAAGCAATGAACTGATTTTCCTTCTTTTAACCAACCTAATCTAGCACAGGAACTCAAAACACTAATCACTGTCACTTCATTGGGTTCCACCTCTGAATCTTGCATCTTAATAAAAACACCTATTGCCTCTTCAAAGCACTCATTTTGATTATACGACGAAATCATAGAAGTCCAACAAGAAGTACTCCGATCAACAAGAGATTCAAAAAGCCCTTTCGCTTTACACAAGTAACCACACTGACTGTACATAACAACAAGAGAATTACTCAAACTACCATCACCAATCATACCTTCTCTGATCACATATCCATGAACCGATTTAGCCAACCTCAAGCAACCAGTTTTAGCACAAGCCTCAGCTATACTAAGCAACGTAACCGAGTCAGGTCTAATCCCCTCTAAAACCATGGAACGAAACATTTCCAATCCCTCTCTATAAACCCCATTCTCAACATAACACGAAACAACAGAACTCCAAGAAACCAAATCTCTCAGACACATTTCATCAAACACCTTCTTAGCATCACATAAACAACTTAATTCCCCGTACATTCCAAGCAAAGATGTTCCAATAACACTATCCTCGCTAAACCCAGACTTAACTATCCTCCCATGCAACTTTCTTCCAGTAACCAAGTCAGCAACACCAGAAGCAGCCCTTATAAGAGAAGGATACAAAAAACTGGAATTACGAGTGAGGTGAGAAGAACCCATATGAATGTGATGATTGTAAAGAGAAAGGATTTCGTCAAACAAGTGATTCCAAAGGTAACATTTGATGAGAACACCAAACATGAAGGAATCGGGAGATGGGTATGTGTAAAAAACGAGTCTTGAAGATTGGAGGGAACCCATTTGGGAATAGGATTCGATGAGCTTAGTGGAGGCAAGTGGGTCATTGTGAAGGCCAGTTGTTAGAAGATGAGAATGGAGCTGACTGAGATGTCTTAAGGTTGAACATGACCTGAATAATGGCATGTAAAGTGTCATCTTTGTCTTGTGTTTCGCTGGTTAATGGTTGAAGAGGAAATTTATAACATGTTCATAATGAATTCATTTCATTAATAAAAAACTTATGAATATAAATATGAATTTATCAATTTGAGACATAATTTTTTTTGGAACCACCTTGACTTGAAGTTGGAACAACATTAATTGCAAGAAACATCTCATATTTTCCAAAATAAATGTTTAAGGTTTGATGCATTTAGGTATTTAGAGGAAAATGTATGGTTGGAAATATTGTTATACATTTTGTTGAAGTCTTTAATTTCCTCTAAATCTTAGTTCCATTCCATGCATAAGTAGTGCAAATTGGATATATCTCTGATTTTGCATTCCATAATTTTTTTTCTTCATATAACCCTGTAGGCCTTGATGTTAACAATGTAAAAATTGAAGGGGTGGAAGGAATTATAATTTGTGTGTTTAGTTATTTTAAAACTACTAGCATTTGAAAACCAAGCGTGGAGAGCTTTCACTTTTAGTTCTTGAGTGATTAGAAAGCCCTATTCATTGGAAATCATTGGAAATCATTGTTAAAGTTTATTAGTAAGTGAACATTTCAAACTCATGGTTGGAAGATGCAATATGCTTAAATCCAAAACCAGATATTTATGGTAAAACAAAAAAACTATTTATTTGCATACTCTTTATCATTCCAATACACTGTGAAGGTTATTTACTACTGGATTTTCTTGTGTATAGAGTAATATATGCTCAATTAGGATAGGAATAGGAGGTAACTTTTTCTAATTAACATTATGTACAGACATATAATGAAGGCAGGCTTCAGTAGTCAGTACCTTCATTACTCATAAATCATACAGAATGAAAACTTATACTACAGACTGCAATGTGAATAACCTTAAACAGAGGTAGCCACTAGCCATCATTGTATGAACAACTCAAGGAAATGCTTTCTGGTCAATAACTTTTATACTTTCTCCATTGTGGTTCGACCGATTCTTTCAATATATCATATCAAAATTTTCAATCTCAAATCACCAGAAGCAGGCATGAGCATTCCATAGAGTCCTCCTCACATTAGTAATTTAAGGTTTATCTCCATCTTCATCGGTCGGTATTTCGTGGCGTGGTTTATTGTACTTCTCCCGCAGTTGCTTTATAGGGATGAAATCTCCAGCTGAATCCATTCCATAGAACAGAAAAGACATGTAAGGGTGATCAAATCTTCCCTGAAAACAGTTTAAACCACCAATCAAATGACAGAAATAAAAGATAGCGCGTTTTTTATCAAGTCTATATCCACTTACTTTGTCTGGTTTGTCAGGTATTAAAAGATTCTCCTCTGCAACTGAAAAAAATGAGGAAAAAAAATCAATCTACGTGTTTGTTTTGAGCAAGAAAACAAGAACATGGAATTGTGAAGTACTGAAAAGAAATTGTAGGTAAGTAACAAGATGTTTTTGAATGACAATAATTCCAGTTTTACCATACGCCACCAGTAAATCTGGTTCAGCACGTACATCAACAAGTACCTGGACATTTGAAAATAGAGAAACCGATTAAAGGTCTGAACAGTTCTTAATCAAAGGCATTCCAAATATTAACACAATACGAAAAAATTATGAGGCAATATATCAAGATACAATAGACAAATTTACAATCACATATTCTTGTTTTCATATAAGCATGAAAATGATGTTTCATCCAAAGAGTTTGCCGAATTCGAAAATAGATAATTTAAAAACGTAACAGACAAAAAATTGGTGATGGAAACTCATGCATTAACATCTTTCATAACATGCTATTGCTTGATTAAATAATTACTAACGTAGAAACAAAATAATTCATACAAATGCAATTTTTATCCTAAAGATACCAAACCTGATAAAACGGTTGAGTGGAACCACGAGACAACTTTTTAACCTGTGCATTTTCCATCCATGAATTTGATTCACTGCATACTGGATCCATTCCTACGATTATAGCTCTATAGCCTGCAAGGTATATCGAGTAATAAACTATAAGGAGGAAAGGAAATCATAATTTCTACTTTTATTAGATATTAAACATATCAGTGTGTCGCCAATTAGATTTTTCCCTAGTTTTAGAGATTCGAAACTCCCAAAAGTAGTTCGGGTTTGTATTTGCAATTATAACACCATAATTATAATACTAGCTATTGGAAAGCTTCGTAGTACAATCAAGACTCACCTTTGTTATTGTTGTGTTGCATTGCACACTCAATGTTTTCAATAACCGGGCCAAACCAGCTGGTTCCAGCAATTGAATTGGTAACCAGCCAGTTTGCCAATTGGTTTGACTGTGGTAGTACTTTAGTCTGGTTGAATCGGATTTAACCGCTTGAATTGCATTTGGTTCAAGCGGTACTTAATTTTTTCATTTTTTATACTTTTTTTAATTATTTATTTGTTTTCTTGTTCAATCATGGTTGAATCGATTGAACCATGACCTAAGGTCTCTCATCCCCAAATTCAGGTCCAATTTCCGGTCCTATTTTTAAAACATAGCTATAAACACATTTAATGATAATTTGTTGTGTTGATAGGGGAGATTTAAATTACTTACCAAATATTTTATGCTTTACTTTCTGCCCCAAACGAAACACATATTGTGCATTTTCATGTGCTAAGGCTTTAGCTGACGCAGCCAGAGACTCTGCTTCAAGTTTGGAAATTCCATCACGTAATTTAGCAGCCAAGGCATAGTCCTCATTCTCGATAGCACTCTGAAGGTCTGAACTGCAAGAGAAACAGGATTATTTGTTATCAATGTTCAAGCAGACCAACAGACTATGATAACGAAAAACAAAAAATAAGCCGGTTAGAGTGTGCTTGTTTTCACGTTGTCGACACCAACCCCTCCAACATCAGTTCACCTCATAAGTATTTTCAAATCTGGATGCTTTGGAATTCAAACACACACGCACGCTTAATCACTGAGAACAAGTAAGCTAAATACAAATGATGAAGAAATCTCACCGAAGACGTATAATACTCAGACCTTTATCTTGTGCTTCACTTTTTGAAGACAGTCCCCTTTTTGACTGTTGTTGCTTGATTACCTCTTCTTCCACCTTTCATAAACAATACATAATTGATTACTAGCAAGTTTACACTAAATTCTGCATCGAACTTGTATTTCAAGTAAAAATGTTATAAATCTTTGCACTTCTAACTCAACTTTAATGAAATCAATTTTACGAAATCGAGTTCATTGAAAATAACCTCTGCTAGCACACACATAACCACTTCAAGTAAGCCTTGTAAACATAATAATCCACATAGCTTGGTATAGAATACTAGAACGGTATTAGTCGCTAACTAATCTAACCTCAGCAAGTTTGTTTCGCAGCTGCTGCGCAATATCATACTCTTCCATGTTTAAAGCACACTGACATTCAAAAGTTCCAAACAAAACATTAAGAATTCTTCCAAAAAAAATTATCATGGTTTTAAGTTTGCGGTCTGCAACTGTAATTGTGGCCGCAATATAAAATATTTTGAGGTATCAGCATGGCAACCTCAATTTCAACCATACTGGAAGCATTTTCCTGCAATATAAAGGTTCCTGCCGCAACCATATCTGCAACCACAATTTAAATTAATGCTATTTATAAAAGATTAAAACCAGCTGAACCTGCACTCTTGTGGCTAAATCCAGCTGAAAGAAGAACATCAAGATATCCTCATTGGCACTTTCACTCTGCTCTACACTTGCATCCAACCCTTGTTCTCCTCCTCCTCTAAACATCCATGCCGCTTCAACCTTAAAATCACTTCTTCGTCTCGACACAAAAGGGTACCCGATTAAGACTAACTTCTTCACACACTTGTTCCAAATCAAGTGTTTTCCAGCGGCGGACATAATATGCGATCTTTTAAATGGCTCAAAGGGTGAAGAACCATAGATTTTGCTCTTTCCACATGTTGCTAGAGTGCTCAATGACACACCCTGCACCATTTTTTGTGAAGCCAAAAATTGATGTTTCAGAAAAAAATTCACCCTTTTCTCAACACAATGTTCCTGCATTATTGGTAATACATGAATTGAAATTATGAAGCTTCAAATCATCAAATTATTTAAAAAATATCAACTTTAATTATAACTATCTTAATATCCACGTATATTTGCAACATGGTTTATCAAATTAAACTAAAAAATCAATTACCCCTTAAAACTTAACATGTGGGTATTGTGTGAACATGAAATTTAGATTAACAGAAAATGATATATATATGTTTCAAGTTCAAGAAGTATTCAAGAATATTTACCAAAAGGTTAGCGGAAGAAGAAGTAGAAGCAGAAGATTCGATGGCTTCTTCCCAGTCACAGAACAGAAGCGATGAAACGAAATGCGAAAATATATTTGTATTTTCAATTATAGTTCTATGTTTTTCTAATAAAATCCTAAAATTATTATTGGTTAAGGTTTAGGAGAAAAAATGAAGATAATTTTTTAAAAATAATTCAGAATTTAGTCATAAACCCTTGTTTTTTAAAGTTAATTTTCAATTTTTTCCTAATCTCAAGGATTGGTGTCTTGGTTATATCCTATTCCCTCGTATAAATTTTTTCACATAAATTAAAAAATATGATAATATTGTTATAAAACATTACACTTTTATAAAATTAATTATATTAATATATAGAAAATAGTGTAAAGAGTAAAAAATAAATAATACAATTTAAAAATTAGTAATTATTATTACATTGAAAAATATAAATGACAATTATTTTAAAATAATATTTATTTATTAAAATGACATTCATTTTAAAACGAAGAAGATATCAAAGTTTTAGATTCAAATCTTTTTATCTGTTAATAATTTTTTTGTGTTCTTTGAATTAATTCGGTTAAGTAACCTAAAATTTGGTGATGGAGAAGAAGAAAATTATTGAAATTGTTTAATCTATTATACCATAATACAATATGAATATGGTGAATAAATATACTATCGAGCCTCATTATATAATTTGAATTATTAATAATGTATATGAAA